CCAGAGATAACCCATCTTCGAACTTGACTTAGACATCATCAAAACAACCTTCCTGACAAATTTCAAGAATATTTGGATGAAAACTGCAGCCTCTAATGTGTTAACAAGCTTTTCTATTTTTAGCTCCTGTGACCTAGTTTTTGACCGGAGATGACCCATCTTCGAACTTGACTTAGATATCATCAAAACAACCTTCTTGACAAATTTCCAGAACATTTAGATGAAAACTGCAGCCATTAGAGTGTTAACAAGCTTTTTCTATTTTTAGCTCCTGTGACCTAGTTTTTGACCTGAGATGACCCATCTTCGAACTTGACCTAGAAATCATCAAAACAACCTTTCTGACAAATTTCCAGAATGTTTGGATGAAAACTGCAACCATTAGAGTGTTAACAAGCTTTTTCTATTTTTAGCTCCTGTGACCTAGTTTTTGACCACACATGACCCATCTTCGAACTTGACCTAGAAATCATTAAAACAACCTTCCTGACAAATTTCCAGAATATTTTAATCAAAACTGCAGCCACTAGTGTTAACAAGCTTTTTCTATTTTTAGCTCCTGTGACCTAGTTTTTGACCGGTGATAACCCATCTTCGAACTTGACCTGAAAATCATCATAACAACCTTCCTGACAAATTTCCAAAATATTTGGATGAAAACTGCAGCCACTAGAGTGTTAACAAGCTTTTTCTATTTTTAGCACCTGTGACCTAGTTTTTGACCGGACATGACCCATCTTCCAACTTGACCTAGATATCATCAAAACAACCTTCCTGACAAATTTCAAGAATATTTGGATGTGAACTGCAGCCACTAGAATGTTAACAAGCTTTTTCTATTTTTAGCTCCTGTGACCTAGTTTTTGACCGGACATTACTCATCTTCCAACTTGACCTAGATATCATCAAAACAACCTTCCTGACAAATTTCCAGCATATTTGGATGAAAACTGCAGCCACTAGAGTGTTAACAAACTTTTCTATTTTTAGCTCCTGTGACCTAGTTTTTGACCGGAGATGACCCATCTTCGAACTTGACCTAGATATTATCTAAGCAACCTTCCTGACAAATTTCCAGAATATTTGGATGAAAACTGCAGCCACTAGAGTGTTAACAAGCTTTTTCTATTTTTAGCTCCTGTGACCTAGTTTTTGACCAGACATGATCCATCTTTAAACTTGACCTAGATATCATCTAAACAACCTTCCTGACAAATTTCCAGAATATTTGGATGAAAACTGCAGCCTATAGAGTGTTAACAAGCTTTTTCTATTTTTAGCTCCTGTGACCTAGTTTTTGACCGGAGATGACCCATCTTCGAACTTGACCTAGATATCATTAAAACAACCTTCCTGACAAATTTCCAGAATATTTGGATGAAAACTGCAGCCTCTAGAGTGTTAACAAGCTTTTTCTATTTTTAGCTCCTGTGACCTAGTTTTTGACCCGAGATAACCCATCTTCGAACTCGATCTGTATTTCATTGAGACAAACATTCTGACAAAGTTTGATGATGATCCAATCAAAACTGTGACTGCTAGACTGTTAACAACCCAATTATTAGAGTGTTAACAAGCTTTTTCTATTTTTAGCTTGTGACCTAGTTTTTGACCAGAGATGACCCATCTTCGAACTTGACCTAGATATCATCAAAATAACCTTCCTGACAAATTTCCAGAATATTTGGATGAAAACTGCAGCCTCTAGAGTGTTAACAAGCTTTTTCTATTTTTAGCTCCTGTGACCTAGTTTTTGACCCGAGATAACCCATCTTCGAACTCGATCTGTATTTCATTGAGACAAACATTCTGACAAAGTTTGATGATGATCCAATCAAAACTGTGACTGCTAGACTGTTAACAACCCAATTGTTAGAGTGTTAACAAGCTTTTTCTATTTTTAGCTCGTGACCTAGTTTTTGACCAGAGATGACCCATCTTCGAACTTGACCTAGATATCATCAAAACAACCTTCCTGACAAATTTCCAGAATATTTGGATGAAAACTGCAGCCTCTAGAGTGTTAACAAGCTTTTTCTATTTTTAGCTCCTGTGACCTAGTTTTTGACCCGAGATAACCCATCTTCGAACTCGATCTGTATTTCATTGAGACAAACATTCTGACAAAGTTTGATGATGATCCAATCAAAACTGTGACTGCTAGACTGTTAACAACCCAATTGTTGACGACGCACGACGCACGACGCACGACGACGGACGCCGGACATAGCCCCATCACTATACCTCACCTTGACCACTTTGTGGTCAGGTGAGCTAAAAACATTAACAAAAACAAATGTTTTTGTATTAAATCTTAACAGACAAACTCACAACAAAGTCTGTATATAAAACACAATTTCCCCAATTCAATAACATAATAAACAAGCAAAATACCACCACGAAGATCAAATTCAGTTAGGGGGTCAAGGTCAACTTTCAATAAGTTAAAAGACACCTATTTTTGACACAAGTTTGTCCAGTCCAAGTATAGAAGAAGTTGTTACTGCCAATGTTAAAATGAGAAAGTTGTTTTCCTGCAGAAAAACAGAAAGACAAGACAAAAACAGTATCTCTACTGACCTACCAGCTCTGAGGCATTATAAAATTGTGCAAAATGTTAAAACTGAAATTGTCTAAACCATCAACTTGATGTGTATGCACCAGTTCAACTTTAGTGCATGACTGCTAATCCACTTCAGCTGTTTGTATTGAAGTTGTATTTCACAAATATTCCAGAAGAATCACAACCTAGCCTCTTGTAATCCAGTGGTATTTTTGCTTTTTTTTTGGAATGATTTTTGTAACTGTTTACAACACATTATAAAAATGTTGCTTAATAACAAATTATGTGAATCTGGAGTGATTACTGTAATGCGAGTGGTCAGTGATGTCATGTGAGTGGTCAGTGATGTTATATGAGTGGTCAGTGATGTTATATGAGTGGTCAGTGATGTCACGTGAGTGGTCAGTGATGTTATATGAGTGGTCAGTGATGTAATGTGAGTGGTCAGTGATGTTATATGAGTGGTCAGTGCTGTATTGTGGGTGGTCAGTGATGTTATATGAGTGGTCAGTGATGTTATATGAGTGGTCAGTGATGTATTGCGAGTTGTCAGTGATGTAATGTGGGTGGTCAGTGATGTAATGTGAGTAGTCAGTGATGTCATGTGAGTGGTCAGTGATGTAAAGTGAGTGGTCAGTGATGTAATGTGAGTGGTCAGTGATGTAATGTGAGTGGTCAGTGATGTAATGTGAGTGGTCACAGTGATGAAATATGGTAAGATTTATAAGTGATGTTTTATGAGTGGTCAGTGATGTATTGCCAGTTGTCAGTGATGTAATGTGGGTGGATAGTGGTGTAAAGGGAGTGGTCTGTGATGTAAAGCGAGTGGTCACTGATGTAATGTGAGTGGTCATTGATGTATTGCGAGTTGTCAGTGATGTAATGTGGGTGGCTAGTGGTGTAAAGTGAGTGGTCTGTGATGTAAAGTGAGTGGTCACTGATGTAATGTGAGTGGTCAGTGATTAATGTGAGTGGTCAGTGATGTAATGTGAGTGGTCACAGTGATGAAATATGGTAAGATTTATTAACGCCTGTAGTGTAATCAGGGAACTGTAATGTAAATGGTCAGTTATGTAATGTAAGTGGTCATTGATGCAATGTGAGTGCTCAGTGTGTGTAATGAGTGGTCAATGATGTAATATGAGTGGGTCATATTGTAATATGAGTGGGTCAATGTTGAAGTATGAGTGGTCAGTGATGTAATGAGAGTGGTCAGTGATGTTATGTAAGTGGTCAAAGCTGTAATGTAAATGGTTAATGATGTAATGTGAGTGGTCAGTGACATAATGTGGGTGGTCAGTGATATAATGTGAGTGGTCAGTGATATACTAGTGATCAGTGACGTTATGTGAGTGGACGGTGATGTTATGTTTGTGGTCAGTAATTTGAGAGTTTAAAGTTAGAGATGTTTTTGTCTTATTGTACAAATTGTCTTTTCTGAATGGCTGCCTAAAATGTACTCCTTTTATATGTTGATTCATGTTACTTTTATCTGAAAAAGCTTTATTGCAATATTCACAGGTGTATGGTTTCTCGCCTGTATGTGTACGTCTGTGACGACTAAGCTCCCATTTGGACGGGAACGGTTTTCTGCAAATATCACATATGTGAACCCGTACAGGTGACATCCCCTCTCCGACAAGCTGCCCACTAACGAGCTCCAGATCTAAAATAAAAACAAGTGGGGACATTAAACAACTTTATTTCTCACATGAAAAACAATTGAGACAATGACTTGTTAACAGCCATTTCAAAGTAAATCTGATATTAAGCCACTCACATTATATTTTGTAGTTTGACCAAAGAAAACCATAAAAACATGAGAGACAAAAGTTGAAAGTTCATCTTTTATTTCCTGTACAAGCGGTAACCTCAGTAGAACAACTGACGTTCCGTAAGCGGGCTGGAAAGTTTCTTCTCATGAAAGAATCCAAAGTCCCTGCTGGGATTCATACCTATTGTGGTGATTGGCAAGTGATTTGAAGTCAGTATACCCTGGTCACCATTCATGATCTTGCAATAAACCACTTTGTACATAATTATCAGAAATCCATCATATACACTTTGTAAAGCACACTATCGCAACCTTAGTGCAGTAACGGGTTAAGTCCTTCTAAATTTTATAGGAGTTAACCAGTTATTGCACTATGATGACTACCGTATATGTGGCAGCATGGCTATGCGTTAAGGTAGTAATCTAAAGATGGCTAGCCTCATAGGTTTGGACCCCTATCAGGGGCAAGCCATTGTTCCCTTGAGCATAAAACTTTACCATCATTGCTCAGTTCTGGTTGGTTCCATGAACAGATTTGAGAATGTATCTTATAAGCTTCTAGCTTTCTACACTACCATGCTAAAATGAATTTGGTATAAACTACAAAGCACAATTGGCCAAAATACAAGTGCATTTCCTTGCTAATATTTAATTTCTACTTACTTTGGGGTACCTGTCTTGCTAAATCCTCATAACCACTTGTTGCACCTGCACTCTTTGGGCTCAAGGTTACATCAGCCAAAGACAGACTCTTCTTACCCTTGGCATTGCCATTGCCTGGCATGGTGCCAGTGATTTCAAGCTCCATCTCTGATTCAGATATTGCTTCAAGTTTTATGTCAGAATTGCAAGCAGACTGTGACCTATTTTCTCTCTGAGCCGTGTCCAAGGGCAGTGAACTGGTGAAACAAGAATTGACAAAAAGGCTCTCTGGAGTTACCGGAACTGTTTTGGAATTTTCTGGTGAGGAAGTGTTACTATTATCACTGTTATCTTTCTCAGCCTCTCTTTGGAATGTTGCCTCATTCTGATATGCAAACTGGTTCTCAAAAATTTCTCCTTTTTTCTCAGACTGGTCACACTGTTCTCTAGGACCAGTCAAACTTTCTACACTTTCTGGATTTCCAATTTCTACATTACTAATGCTATCATTAGGCCCTGTGCTACTGTTTTCTTGTTTTATAGACACCATCTTGCCTTCAGTTAGTCTGGCACTCTTCTCTATGTTAAATGCTTGTCTACTACTAGATCTTTTAACAGGGTACGGCTCATGCCTTTGTTTAGGTGATGACCTTGTGAGAACTCCCCCTTGCTTAGGGGAGACAACTTTAGGAGACAAAGGTAAGTTACAAGGCCCAAAGTAAGGGTCATTATCAATTGTTGATTCATCTTTTTGCAGCGGAATGTTATGATGATCTGTGGATGAAGAAATACATGGGTAAAGTTTCATAAATAAGTCAATAAATGTATGACTGGTAAATTAAATAAGGGCAGTGACGGTGTCTTCACTAACCGGATTCAATGACCTAGTGTATTTCGGCACTCGTCTTTGTATACCTTGGTAGATATGTTAAGAACTTTTATTTTTAAGATAAAGCCATTGTATATTAATCTTAATCATATGCTATACTATACAGCCTGTTTGAAATAAGGCCGGTAATATATCTTATACAGACTACAACTACAAACTAAATCAATGCAGAGTTTGGCAACATTTGCCTTTAAATCAGACACAATAACCCAACTGAGGTCGAAAAGCCTAGAAACATTTTATTTGAATTTTTAACAATTACATAGATCAGCTTGGGCACTTGAAACAGAAAATTTATGCAAAAGATAATTACAAAATATACTCAGAAACAAACAATTAAAAAATCGTAAATTTGCGCTATTGTTAGCACAATTTGAGTGAAAAGCATTCCCTTTAACCTAACAATGACATGTAATCTGTGATTCACTCATATTACACTCAACAAACATGGAATCGTCTACAGGCAACAAAATAATACAGTCATAAAGCAGCCTCAAGAACATCGTCAGTTACCCACGGTATATATTCCGTACAAAATACATTATCTACAATAGATTATATAGTATGTGCAGAATATATACAGTGAGCAACCAACGATGCCTCAAGGGGAGAAGTACCCTAGTGGTTTCGGCGTCGACCTATCAAACCTAGGAAATGTAAGTTCGAGCTACACTAGGGTCATGACCTCAATTCCTCTTACGAAACTAATACTGGTAATTAGTATGTTCATCATGATGAGGTATCTGAGGTGGAAAGTGTTTGAAATTAACAAATTTTAACAACATAATTAAGCTTAAATCAGAGCTTCCATTAAGTTTCAAAATTTGGAAGTCGGAGACTGAAAATGTCTGACATTGGAAGTCACATTTTATAGATGGAAAAGCATTATAAATTGGAAAATCACAAGCCAAAATCAAGGAGTAAATGATTCCCAAACGTCCACAAATGGAAAGCCTGTAAAATTTATAGTCTCACTTTTCAAACAGAAGCTGATAAACTGCGATTTTATGTCTTCATGGTCCCCGAGAAACATTTTACCGATGTCCGACCCCAGACTGCTGACCGTGACTGCTCCATCACCAACACAAGCTGTCAGAAGGACTGATTCCTCATCTGTATACAAGGCTAACTGTTGTACCTACAATTCATAAACAAACATGAAGAAATATCTCAAATAGGACTATCAATAGTCAGTGCTTAAACCTAACTTTTTGCCACATGAACTGTAAAAATATTATGTCAAAAGTTCCTTTTTTATAGTTTAACTTTAAAGGAACTTCACTCCACTGAGATCCAAAAACCTTAAATTTTAATTTCTTACCTAATTCAGCTGAGAACCTTAAAACAGAAAGATATGCAAAAGATAAATAACAAATAAATGTATACTCAGAAATAAATTGAAAATCATATTTGCATCCTTTTTTAAAACCAGATTTGAGTGAAAAACGTTATAATTTTGAGTCATTTTTCTGTTAAAATTGATGTCAAGAATTATGGGCCTTGGACAGTGACCTCTTTGTATGCTCTCAAATAAGTGTGAAAAGTTTCAACCAATTCCCTAAAGCAGTTATAGAGATATCAACTTACAAACAAAATTTAGCCAAAGTATGATGTGATGCCTGCGGGAGTACAATGGCTCTCCCTTTTCTCTGAATAGTCAAGCTAATATCGGTCCATTATTGGACGACCAGTATATATTAAGTTCAGACAGTGCCCATTCTTGGATATGTGATAAAACATCCTAACTACCAGGCCTAATCAGCTAACATTTTACTATCAACTGCATCAATACTTATTTACTAGTATTGAAATCCCTAAAACCAGGAATGGACTGCTCTGAATCTAAAGCAATTAAGACAGGTCAATGATACATATAAAGAGACTTGTATCATTTACAAAGAAACATACCAGTTGTTGAATCTGCCCCTTTAAAACTGTCTTTAGAATCAGCTTGTATCCAGGAATTTCTTTCATCAAGTCCAGTTCAGAACTTGCCATCTTATTATGGATGTTGGCAAACACACAATACTGTAGATCTATCAGCTTCTGTTTCTATCACAACGTTTGTCAAGGTTACTCTTTACTAATTTATGGAATGCTGAAATTTTAAACTTAAGTAAATCATATAAAGCTACATGTATATATCAAATTGCAGATAAATGACATCACTAGATGTTGACAATATATAATTGTCCCAACTTAAACTGTTTTTGAACAACAAACGAATATTTGGGATGGAATTATCATATTTTTGCTAGGTCGAACACAACTGTGCAACCTGTCCCAACTCTTTCTTCTACATGTAAATATTCCAAACCGTGTCATTGAACCAACCAGCAATAAATTGATTTGTATGATTTAAGTAGGAAGTGGCTAGTCGTACGGGCCCGTACGGCTAGCCAAAAGTTCTAGCCGTACGTGAGTCACGTACGACTAGCCTGGACACACTGTATTGGCTAGCCGTACGGCACTTTTCAAAATTATATGGAAGTCGAAAATGCATATGTTATTTTTGTGTCTTTAAATGACGATTTTAATCAAATCTCCGCATTTGTCCTAGTTTGTTCACTTTAATAAAGATGTCTGCAATGTTGCAAAAAAAAATGAATACGAGTAAGCGTTGTATAATCTATCTTAATAAAATTAAGTGTCAAAGTTGCATGTTATAACGTCCTTAATTTTCATGCTTATGATTTGTATGAAAGATGAATTGTTAAATCTGTTAATTAAGCACATGGATCGAATAAATAATGATCGGAGGGGAATAAATAAATAAAAAGAATATTAGAAAATACAGTGAAAAGGAAAAATAATTTAATAATGCAAACTTTCCTTAATGATGGACGATGGACAAACTTCTATACCGACGGTAATTGACGCAATATTATCAGAGCCCAACAACAATTATTTTCGGTGTTTTTTTTTTTTTTTTTTTTTTTTTTTTTCAATTTAAAAATTAAACTTAATGAAACAAAAAAGGATTATTATCAAAATTTTGTAAACTATTTTTATTGATGTTATTTAACTGCAACCAAACGCTATTTTTTCTCGACGTCTTGAGATGACAAAGTATACATTCTTTACTGTAGCCAATGCGTCGATTAATCTCTAAAAAGTAAACATTCTTGACTAAAATCCTCGCTTTAAGTCATAATTAACATATGCACTTTCGCCTTCCATATATTTTTGAAAAGTGCCGTACGGCTAGTCAATACAGTGTGTCCTGGCTAGTCGTACGTGACTCACGTACGGCTAGAACTTTTGGCTAGCCGTACGGGCCCTTTCGGCTAGCCACTTCCATTTAAGTAAGACTAAGAATGACTTTGCAATTTTGATTTATACTGGACTAGTGGCATTCAGCCGATTTGACGAGTTCAAATATATATATATTATACTGTATATATTATACAGTTTATTTTTTTTCTAAAATTAATTTTTTACACTATCCCAACACTTTGCTGAGTCCCTTTAGTTGCTTGTTCAATTATATTCACTTCTGTTTCCGAAACAGAAATTAAATACTAAATTAATATTAACTAGTACTAGTACTGTACAGTAATGATATATTTATATACCTTTATTTTACACACATTCTCTCTGCAGCTTAACTCATAGTCAATGAGTATTGTATCAATTATTTCAATGAATGTATAAAAATGAACATGAGACTTATACATAGATCTTTTTTATTTTATATACAAGTTACAACTGCTTTGGTTGCATAAGTAAACCACCTGTTCATGGCAGAATCTTCCTTCATATTAAACAGTGTATATCTGCAAAAAACCTTAATGGCAAGATTTTCGTTAATAAGAAATATACATTTTTAGCTCATTAGCATATATTTTGATGTGTTACTGATGTGAACACGTCAAATGACACATTTCATAAAATAATGTGGAAATTGGATCGATAATTGATAAGACTTTGACACTGAGTGATAATAACCGTTGACAGGTTGGGGTCCTTTAGTGAAAATAATTATACCACACCTGATCAAAATGTGCTTATATCAGTCCATTTGATGTTAAAAACTCGAATTTGCATCCCTTTACTTGGAAAATTGTAAAAATGTTAAATCACGCGTACCAGTTATTTGTTATTGTTTTTATCTCCCTTGAAAAGTTTCACGTTGTCACGTGTCTGATATTAAAACGAAACGAAACAACTCGTAAAACGCGAAATGAACGGATGTGTATACTGTACAGGTCTGAGACCGCTAATTCTTGAAATACAGCATGTCCATATAGGCCGAAAAAGCCTATAAAGATATAATTTTCATTTCTTACATAGACCAGGGATGTTCTATATATAATAAGCATGCAGTATCTATATAATAGACGTTCCTGCATATATCAACTTGGGCACTTTCAAAAGAAACAAAACAGAAAGATAATATACAAAAGAGAATATATATTGTAGATCTACTCAGCTAAATAAATTGAAAATCGCATATTTGTGATAATCTTAAGCCCGATTTGAGTGAAAAGCACTGGTCCGCCTTTAAGTTTGGGTAAAGAATTAAAAACCAACTCTTTAACATTATAATACATTGTAATTATTCTTGAAATAAGGAGTGAGGGAATGATCTCAAATTTTGAACACAAGCTATGTGTCTAGAACTACATCGAATGGAAAATTAGTCTCGAAGTACGAAAAAAAAATCTAGTCCCGTCATGGCAAAAAGAAGCAACAACAACAAAACAAACAAAAAACACCCATAACTTCAGTTTAACATCGAATTGTCCAAGGGATTATTAGAAATTGCAGGCTAGACAAATGATTTTTGAAGATACGTTTTCTTAACTTCCTCCTGGGACCATATTTTTTGACCCCAGCATCCTCCAAAAAAAATAAAGGAATATATGTGCATGTATATGTTATATACAAATTACAAATGCATTACAAAGGAACATAAAAATGTACATTTTACATAAAAATGTCAAAACGATGATTGTGGTATGAAGATGAAGCAAATATACTATACTTTTATGTGATGTTTTTACTTACTGATTTTGTCAAAAGTAACACAATTAAAATCAACTGATGCAGACTACACTTATCTTGCCTGATGGAAGAAAAAAAAGAGTATAAATTATTGCAAAGGTCAAAATTAGACGCTTTATATTTAAATGGTGTATTCTTTTAATTTGAAAATCTTACATAGAAAAAATAAGCCTAACAAATTTCAATTGAAAGTCTATTTTAAAAATGTCGTATGTTAAATTTTGAGAGCATTCTGTTGAAGATTTTTTTTTAAATTTTGAATACCGGGTAAATTTTAATGAAAGATTATAATTCGCAAGGAATGGACAATGCACCTTTTTCGTGCATTAACAACTCGTCGCCCTATTCTAAAAATGGTGTATCTACAATTTCCTCTTTTTTGGGAAAAAGGGGTTAAAGGTTCAAGACGTTGTAACTTTTATTTAATAACTCCTAACAGTGTGGACTTCTGGATTGGTATTATAGATGTCAACATGTGATGAAAGCACTTTGTTATATACCTTTATAATTTGAAGAAATTGTAAAAATTAAAAAAAAAATGGAGATAGACCAAAAATGTTTATTTTTAGATAAAAAAATTACTCTAAAAATGAGTTTGCGGAGATATGACAAAGTAAGGCTAAAATTGTAAATACTTTTTGAGTTAGCATTTTTTAAGAGTAATAATTTTACTATAGAATATTAGTAGATTTTTAAAATTCTAAAGAACATTTTCAGCCAGAGTGGTTGAACCGCTGACACTAAATCACTTTATCTTCGTAAATTACTATGTCAAAGTGTAAATTCATTCACGTGATCTCCAACTTGGGCCTTTCTCGATAATAACAATATAAAATTGTGCCATAAAAAAAGAAAAACAAACATTTCACAAAATTTTTAATCAATGAACTTGCTAAAACAAACTGACATATTTTGAACCATTATGAAAAATGAAATGATTGTAACCATCTCTAATATTGTGATTAAATGATACAGATATAAATTATATTACCAATAATTCTTTTTAATTCACACAATTAAAGTCAATACCACATGCATTCAAAGTCTCAAGTATTGTTTGTGGTTTAATATCAACGTATGAAAAAATATCTGCTCAAGTTCTTAACAATCTTTCAAGATTGCAAAATCGTCGTTTACAAGATTTTACATCCAGTGAATTTTGCGATCTCCCATATTGGTGTTTGTCGCACAACGTAGATACTGGACATTCCATGAACAGGCTAAATCAAACCGAGCCGGCTACATTTTAGATCATGCCGTATTGTGCCTTAAGAATTCTGCTATTATCTAATAAATATAATCATTGATGACCCGGAGAACACTGAAACTCGCATGCAAACTTAAAATCTATGTTTTGACAAGACAGTGGTATTCCGATCCCATTGGAATGTTAAATATCTATTTATTTTGTGAATATTTTAAGACTTGAAACAATGATTTATCTGAAACTGATGGCAAGTCAAAACTTCCCCACAGACTTGATGTTGTTGATATAAAATTTCATAGTTTTGTGGAAGTTCTGCTAACTGCAGTCACAAGTTCTAAGAGACAACATTTCTGTAAGGACAACGTCTGATAATGTAAGTAAGTCTGACCTGAAATGGACAAAATATTATCATTAACAATTAAACAACAACAATGTTCGATACTCCAAATAGTTCCAAATAGTTCATACGAATATCCGAATATAGTTATCCGAAATTATGTGATTGTGAAACTTTGAGAAAAATATATAAAAGAATGATAATACTATGAAACAAATACTAATACAAAATATAAATTCACTTATAAAACGTATAAAAGCTAAAATATTATACTTACATGCTTCAGAAATCATTTTTAACTGTTATTTTCCTAGTTAGCTGGCTGATTTAGATACGATTGTTGTTGTTATCACTGGAGTTAGAACAATTATATTGTCAGGCCCCTTTAGGTCACATGACATATATTTTTCAACTTGATTGGCTGTCACGAAAGATTAGCCTAAAAGTGTTACATGTGTTGGAGATACGACGAAAAAAGGCTAACAGCAAAGCTTTCCATTGGACATAGAACAAAATACAGACGCTATATCTACAAAAGAATGACGTAAATCTTCACAAGTTTTGTTTTGGAGATAGAACAAACTAATACTAAAATAAATGTGCAGTTATCTCATTTTTGGTAAAAATGGAGTTAGGACATTTTTAGAATAAGGCGACGAACTGCAGAAGCACGTGGACATATTTTAAGACCGAGCTCGCAGGGCGTGATTTAATAATTCCGAGGGTTTCTGCAGATGTTAACGCACAAGAAAAAATGCATTAGCGCTATTTTTGCATAAAAGTTTTTCTTCCAATTCGGTTATTCCGCGTTTTGTTCTTTTTTCTTTCTTTTTATCTCTCTTTTTTTTATTTCGTACATAAAGGAAACATTACCTTTTTCCTATGTTTTTCGCGTGCAAGTGCGACGTCATTTGACAGTTATGTTTTGCTTATGCAAGAATAAACAATAAACGTTCCTATATACTGAGTTCAAGTAAAAGTGATTTTTTTTTCTATTTTAAGCACTTGAAAATTCTTGACAATTAGGAGTTTTACTAATTTATAAATCGGCATGATATGAGTTTGTCTATTTATTTATTATGTGACGGAAATGTACTTTATAGTAAATTTGATTGCCTCCCCTTTCTATAAGATCGCCATTTGTATTAAAAAAATAAATAAAGTAATCTATTAAATTTGACATGATTAGTAGGTATTTTAGGTATTTTTACTGTCAAATGTGTATAATTTTAGGGTATCCATCAAAGTGTTTATATTTGAAATTGTTTATCTGTAACTCAAAATAGTTTGTAAGAAAAGTCAATTCTATTAACAGACGCTTATAAGGTTAAGTTAAAATCAGTTTCAAGAAACGTTTTATTATTTTAGCCAATCAAATTCATTGTTTTTATTCACTGCGGAGATGATGCTTCACAGGCATATAAATAGAGCGATTTCAGTGTAAAAATTCAGTCTGGTCCTGTCCGTTGGAGAGTGGAAACGAATTCATAAATACTTACTGGTACGCAAAAATCTCAGATTTCTGGTACTAAGGACGTTTTATGATTTCTGTAAAATTCCTTTGGCATAAATTATTTTTGAAAATATATTTTTGGTTAGATTTGGTTTTGGCTCCGGACCGTTAAGTTGTAATTATATTTACTAGTAGCCAGGCATCTTAGATACTGGTGCTAAAAATATCTTTACTTCTTATGATTTAAATAGTTAGTTTGCCTGTTGTCCTTGCAAGAGTTGGATATAGGTAATATTGTATTTAATAGTAGCCAGGCATCTTAGATACTGGTGCTAAAAATACCTTATTGCCTAAGTAAAACCTCTTGGACAAGTGTTTGATAGAGAGGAGTTTATTTGAAAACATTATTTGAAGAATCGGTTTTTGAACGTTTTATGATAAGAGTTTGTTGATTTGAAATATAAAAGTTAGAAATAAGAGATAGGTTTAGGAATGTAAATTTTAGTTTGAAAGTAAGAGTAAATAGTGTTTGATTGCTTCTTGAAATATATATTTTGGATGATTTAAGTATTAGTTGAAGATTGTTATTTTTGCATTTTATAATTTCTAGAGTTTTTATTAAGTTAATATATAATCAAAAGGTTAAGAAACCAGAAGGAAAATTTATATAAAATATTTCAAATCATTTCGGATAAGTATCCCAAGAAAAATTATATATTTGCATTTGAGAATCTTGTGGTTTAAAATCATTTTATTTTGTAGCACTTGAATAATTAATCAACAGCTCGGTACACGCTACAAAATTGGTGGCAGCGGTGGGATAAATCTAATTTGATAGATTTCAAAAAGATTTTTTTTTTTGGATAAAATAACATTATCACTTACCTGCGTTTGTTGAAATTTTTATATTGACGTAATTATTTTTAAGAATTATGGCTGAGGCTAGAAATCCTGAAGATTTGTCTGTTTATCTCAAAGAGATAGATATGTTGAGAAAAGAGAATGAAAGTTTGAGAATGCAAAACGAAATAGAGCTTTTAGAAAAACAATTGCTTAAGTTACAAACTACTTCAACTATTCAGACACCTAGAAATATTAGTCATAATACATCTTTCTGTTCTCAAAGAAAAAGACAATTGCCGTACATTCCTGAAAGAAAAATTATAG